ATTACTTGCTTTTAAAAAAAAAATGTCTAGAAAGGAGCGTGCCCACGAGCTCTGTGTTCAGCACAGCCCCAGTGGTTGCGGGAACAAGGACGAGTCGTCAGTTGTTTGGCACTTTTACCCCAGGAGGGCCCTGAGGTCTGCTCAGGACAGCCAGGTATGTTTCTTGTATGTCCTTGCTGATAGTCAGTGCTTAACGTGACTACAGGACTCCATCCTGTCCTAATCCCAGCTTTGTAGAGAAAAGACACTTCTAAAGCGAGCACAGGAGCAACGCAGTCTTAATTTTTGTTTGCACCATGATTCCTCGCGCCATCTGTCTTGTCAGGTTTTAGGTTTTGGTTTTATTTTGCTCCATCGACATGGCCAGTAGAACCACGGGAACAGACTTTTTTAATGATGATTTTGTAAACAGTGAAGGTTTCTGCTCTGTTTCTTTTCTCCTCCCCACTCTGGCTTGATCGTTGTACAGTACATTATGCAGCTATTCCATTACTCACTTTTTGTCTTGATACAAGTAGTTGAAGAAATTGTATAAGGGGAAAAAGGTTCCTTTTCTTCATGTTGGAATGTCACTGGTACCTCAGCTCTGTTTGATAATATGAAACAACGAAGACAAAAAAAAAAAAAAAAAATCCTTAGCGCTTGAACTAAATAAATACCTGTCTCATTGGAAAGCTCTGGGTCTCTTCTCTAAGTACTTCCAGGGTGGTGGGGGTGCAGGGCATCAGGCTGCTGCTTGCTTGCGCTTTTTGGCTTTGAAGTGCTGCAGGAGCCTTTTGGAAGGGCATGAGTAAGCTTTTGGTTTTGGAGGAAAGGTGGGGGAATTGTGTACTTACTGTTCCTCCGGTTCTATACGGTGTCTCTGCAATTGTTTCCAGCGATCGACGAGTGACGTGGAGGACGGGTACACAGAGCGCGTCCTCTGCCTGCTGCGACTGTGCCTTTCTGGTCCTTTCTCGCTCTTGAAATCCAGCCGGTTTCCTCCGTTCCCTTTCGCAAAGGTGACTCGGGCGCCTTGTGCCTGCTTCAGCTGCCCTGGGTGCTGCCCCGCGATACCCGGTGAGCGTGGGTGAACCAACCCCACCTTCCTTGAGGAGGAGCCTCCTTAAGCCTCCATCTTGCAGGAGATGGCAGACGAGGGCTGCGGGGACGGGTAGGTGAGTACCAGTAACAGAGATGCTCGTGGACGGTTATCCTTGTCTAGTATTCCAGGGAAAATCACTGGATTTGGTCTGGTAACACCAGCAGCCTCATCTCTGTCACTTGTTCAAGCTCTTCTATATTAAAAGGACCGTCGCTAAATTGGTCGTGAAATTTGACAAGCGAGAAACTTGAAGGTAGTCTTGGAGCTGTGGAGATGTGCTGGTGTTAGTCACGGGGGAACAGCCGTACGGTGAGGCCGTACGGGGACGGGTCACTGGAAGAGGCGTTTGTCACTGGGGGGAGCTTCTGTTCCGTGTACTGGCACTGCCAGGTCCTGCCCTGGGTGGGAGCACGGCTCGAGAGCTGCCCGAGGGCTTTAGGGAATGGGACGATGCACCTGAAAACGACACGTTCGCCTCTCAGAAGAGGGTTTAGGATCAGTCTGTTGGAAGGAGCCGAACGTAATAGAAGTGGGTTGTTGTCTCCAGGGTAGCGCTGAAGCATGTTGGTCTCAATTCCTCCATGTTGCTCCCCGTTGCTGTTGAATTAGCTTCACGCTGCTGTTGTACGCAGCCTTGGGGGCTGTCGCCTCAAGTACTGGTATCCCACCTAGATGGATTAAACTGGAACGAAGAGGCTGTCTCTGGGCGAGACATGGCCTGGGGGCACCCATGAGCTCCGGCGTAGGAGCCTGGGCCTGGCCGCTGGCTCGTGGCTGCCGCGGGTCGAGCTCTCTGCTCCCAACCTCGCTGGGTTTTATTAGCTACGGAGTCAGACGGGGAGCGTCTGCCTCGGCTTAGAGGGTGCCTCACGCTGGCGTTTGCTGATGGCTTCTTTGTCTGCTCCGCTGGTGGGGCCAGCCCTGATCTTCCCCGGGCTGGAGGAGCCGCAGCATCCTCCTAGCAGCGTCTGCAGAGCTGCTGCCGCAGCCGACGCCGCTGCACGGTGTCGGGTTTTGCATCCAGCACTCAAATCTAGACCGTGAGAGGGCTTTACCTGATGCAGCGGCACTTTTTTTCCATGCTGGGCATGTACCAGCCCCGAAAGGAAGATACGGGTCAGGCTGCTTCTCGCCCGGCTGCCTGCGACGTGGCTGCGGCAGAGGCTGCCAACGCTCCCGCAGTGAGGAAAGCAGCTGCAAACACCCGGACCTCAGAACAGCCTCTCCCATCTGCGCCGCCGTAGCGCTCAGTGTTCAGCCTCCTCCTCTGCCGCTCTGTCCTTGCCTGAGCTGGGCTTCCCAGGCTGGCCGGGCTTGGGTTTTCATCGATTTGCAAAAGGACCTATTTTTTTTTTTTTTTTCCTCCCTCTTTAAATCACCTTTTCCTTCCCCACCCTGGTCTGAGCACATGCCAAAGTCGACCGCGGCTTTTCAGAAGGTATTTGGGATCCTCGCCCAGCAGCTGAACGTAACCCGCCACCCGAACTGATGCCGTAACCGCCTGGCTCGGGCGCGACGGGAGTTAAACGCCAGCTGAATTGCCATGACAGGAGCAGCTCTGCCCTTCCCTGGAGGATGAGGAGTAGGGCAGGGCCGAAGGCAGCTCAGCAGCTCAGCGGGGTGATGCTCCTGCTGCCCCGTGGCTCTGCCCTGCTGAGTTCGGAGGGAGGAGGCGCTCTGCGAACTGCTGTTTCTGAGTCGAATCTTCCAGGCTTGCCACCTGTTTCTGAGGTTTTGGGTATAAATTAAATCCATCTCGAGCGTTTGCTGTCGGCCACCCGGCGAGCGCGTCTGGAACCAGGATCGTGTTAAAGGCTTGATTAAAGTTCCTGCTAATTAAAGCACTGAAACTGCTCTGTATCCCCCCTGCACAGCCAATCGGTCCATCCGCAGTGCTGCGTGTCCTCGGATATGGGATGTTGGAGGGAGAAAATGGTGTCTGTCGATGCTCTCAGGGCCGGCGGCGGACTTGGCACTGATCTTTCCTGCGTCCATCCCTGCTCGGGAAGAGGGGACGGGTGGAAATTCAAATCTTGATCCTGACATTTGCTGAGGCGTAGCGGCCCGCGATGCAGCTACTTTGTTTCCGGATAAGTGGGTTTTGATCGCAGCGAGGGTCAAGCAGCCGCCAACCGATTGCTTTGCTGTGACATTTGGGGACTAATCTTGTGAGGCTGTTTGTGGGCGTCCTTGGACATTAACCGCTGGTGCCTGGTCCTTGTTGCAGATCCCACCGCGTTAATCCTCGTTTCGGAAGGTTCTTCGAGTCATTTTGGGCTTTGGTTGATGTTTGGAGCTTCAGCAGCTCTCGCTGCTCAGAGAGAGGGGTCGTGTGGGTCTGTATTTGAGTGGGAATGGAGTGGATCAACCCTAATTTCTGTTTCTCGACACTTCTTGTCCCTCTCCGGTCCTGCGCAGCGTCAGTCCCTGTGGGCATCCAAAGCCCCCGCAAAGCCCCTCTCCTGCAGAGCGAAGACCTGAGCAGCGCCCAAACCAGGCCAGATGGTTCTGTGGACGGTGGTTTCTGTTCTTCCAAATTTCTTGTGCTGCTAAATTTATTTTTAACATATTTAATGGCTCCTTCGTTTAGCTTCCTAGCGAGGGGTCTGGCTGCAGTCAGCTGCTCCCACCGACAGCGTGAAGACCCCAGGAATGGCTGCTGGAGGCGCGTGCTGGTCAATCACTGCCCTTTTCGGTGGCCTTGCCTGGATCACTTGGTGTCCCTGAATCTTCAGGAGACCGGCACAGCCCCGCTCGGTAGGAGAGAAGCAGGATCGGCCCTGGGATGTTCAGGTACCTCAGGGATGGGGACTGTGGGGGTCTGAGCTGGGGAAGAGGAGCTTTTGCAGGTCAGCAGCTGGACGTGGCGTAGAAAGGAGTGCCCGTTTCCAGGTTGTGCTGCTCTTGGTGAAGCGTTTCCAGATGTTTCCATCTCCAGGCGTGTCTCGCCCTCGGGTTATGCACCCTGTGTGGCAAATGCCTGCCAGCGGCTCCCGGCCCGCCGCTGGAGACGGGCTCACCCAGGAAAACCTCTGGCTTTTCCCAGAGCTGCCAGCTCCTGGGATTGCTGAAGTCCCTGAGAAAAGAGGGTTTAGGGGATGTCCCGCTGCTCGGCGTGTCCCTACAACTGCCTCTTCCCCGCCTGGCCCAATCCGTCTCGCACCCGCAGGTTATGCTGCTGTGACTCGGGTGCTTTATCCCACCGGAGCTGGGCTCGACTCCGGGGGCTCCGCATCCCCGGCTGCTTCGTTAGCAGCCAGATGCGCTGCTCCGCTCGCTGCGTTTCCCGGCAGATGGGACAGCACCGGGGAGTCTCCTTCGGCGCTAATTGGCGTCGGTGGCAGCTGGGGCTTGTGTGCAGCCCCGGAGCTGAACCAGACTCGTCCCCGGTACCCTGGGACTTGGTGGTGGGGACAAGAGGTTGATGCCCTCCCTGGTTGGCCGCGCTCGCTGCGGGGATGCCCCATCCCTCTGCCCTGCAGCAGGTCCTGCTCCCCCTCTCGTTCCCAGCCGCGTGGAGGAAGGGGCTGTAGCTCTCAAAGCCCTGCTGTTGGGGACACCCTGCAAAGGGTCTTCTGGGCCTGCAGGGACAGGTTTAGGTGGAGGTGACGGCGGAAAATAGGTTGGAAAGAGGGACAGCAGCCCCGTGCGTTAGACAGGGTTTCCCTTTCCCGTCTGCTGTGCGTCCTAAAAGCAGCTGTGGGTTCGTTGTTTCATTTCTCTGTCCTCCCTCCGACCCT